AGTGACAGTTAGTGAGTTAAGCGCGGATTAGTCGTGCTATAGGGAAACATGTTATTTGGGTAGAATTTCGAGAAATAATGAATTGAAAATGCTAAATATAAAGAAAAAATTGAGAAAGAGTATGTGAGATTATTTTTAATGATTGTGGGCGAAGATGTTCCAAATCGACTCTCCGCCCTTGTACATCGTATTTACAAAAATGCGTGAAATTCCATGCACAACTTGGTCGCAAAATCGGAACAGGAAGGAGACGTTTTCTGACATGTTCCCGGCCAACTCTTCAACTCCTTCATCGATCTGAAAGATAGTGCGTTATCAGCGATCTATGCTCCTCTTCTAGTTCAAACAGTTTCAAAGATTTTCGCTTTTTTTGCTGCGTTCATACCCTGCGATTACCCGTGTAATCGTAATGACAATCATAATAATCCCGTCGATAGGGAACAGACGACAGAAAAAATAGGCGTGGCCTGTATTCGTCGTCGACCGCCAGCCACCCTCCTTTGCGCCTTGAATGTTTTTAATTTCCTTCCGGCACTAACGTAGTTGGTGAGAGGAGGAGAATGCGTGAGTATGGACAAGCTGGACCATAGGCTTTACTCCAGACTGTCGAACGATAGTGGGATGATGTTCCGAGTCGAGAAAGTGGCAAAATAGGCGTTGCAAGCGGTGTAAGGTAAACAGCATGCTTCGCTTCAGGACCCAATCCACTCAATGTGGCAGTGTTGTGGCGCGTCGACTCTCTCTGCGTCTGCGTCTCTCACGTCGACTAGCGTGTAGCTGACTAGTCTGAAGTAACGCCCCATACTCTGCGGTGGGGAGGAACGTGAGCACACTCGCTCGCCCGTAACTTCGCTGGCACCCGGGACTTCAATCGCAATCCGAAACGATCGGGCGTGCGACGCGGCCTGTATTAGAGCCGCCTTCTTCATCAGTGACGCCATCCTGAGCACGCAGTGTTGGTGGGAAGCCTATTTTGGCTGCGCTTAAATTCACGCCTGTTCACACGAGCATGATCACACGTTTGCGTCTTCTTTTTCCCTTGCTCTCACTTCTTTCTCTCTCCTCCCAGATTGAGGTAGCTTGTGGTTTCTAAATGCCGCTCACGGTTGGCTGATACGCCTAGCTCTTCTAGAGACGTTCAGAGGGATGATTAATGCTGCATGGGTGAAACTATTAGGTTGTCCGGAAAGTTCTTAGCGCTTTTGGGTGTTTAAATTTTAAAGATCATTATAGCTTTTCTTAACAGCTCATCGTGTAATCAAATAAGCACCATTCGAATCAGCACACTTTTGCCAATGTGGCAGCAGTCGAGAAATCCCATCAAAGAAAAAACTGGGTGGTCGAGAATCCACGAAATCTGCGAAGGTCTTTTTTGCCTGGTCTTAATTGATGAAGTATTTTTCAGCAAGGAAGTTCTGAAAATGTCTGAAAAGGTGACAGTCGGTTGGTGAAAGGTCTAGAGAATATGGTGGGTGAGGTAGAACTTCAACTCCCAATTCGTTCAATTTATGGATAGTGATTTGTGAAACGTGTGGGCGGGCGTTGTCATGCAAAAGAATCGGACCCTTTCTTTTGATAAGTGTTGGCTGCAGCTGACAATATTTTCGGTACATTTGGTCGGTTTGTTCACAGTAGGGTTCTGCTGTGATGGTTTGGCCTGGTGATGAAAAGTTATAGTGGATTACAACAGCCGATGACCACCAAACCTGACCAGAATTTTTTTTTCGCGAGGGTTCGGCTTTGAAAATTACCTCCTCCCTCCCCTCGGTGGTTCCTCCATCACCGCAGCCGGTCCGGAACGTCTCCTGTTATCATACATGATCCATTTTTCATCACAGGTGACAAATCCGTTCAAAAACGGGTCAATTCTTTTGCGCAAAAGCAGTGAAGAAGGAACCTCGAGACGTGCCGATTCCTGCCGGTCACTCCGATTGTGGGGCACCCAATTGTCGAGTTTTTTCACCTTCCCAATGCGTTCCAGACCATCTGCAACAGTGGATTTGCCAAGGCCTAGCTCTTCTGCTATCTCTCGAACTGTTTGGGATGGGTCAGCCTTCAAAAATCCCCCTAAAATCCTCGTCAGATATTGCTTTAGGTCGACCGCTATGAGGCTTCACCTTCAAGGCTGAAATCTCCAGAACGAAATTTATTGAGCCATTGCCGCACAGTGCTTTCTTTAGCACTATTGGGCCCCCACACCTGGTTAATTTGTTGAGCTGTTTCGATTGCGGATTGCCCCAATTTATAGCCGAAGAAAAAAATCGTCCGAAGTGCTCTTTTCACATGCTTGAAAAAATCTTGAAAAAAGAGGGTTTATCAAGCAATGGTGAAACGGCAATTATACCATCAGATAGCGCAAGAAATTCTCTACAGGATGTGCTACTGAGAAGCAAGGCAGAATGAGTTTTTAATCAGCAGTGAATGTACAAAATTAGGTGCACAAAACGCTAAGAACTTTCCGGACAACCTAATAGTGTCGCTCCCACCAGTCCCTCTTTTCTTCCTAATCGATTCTTCGAGCCTCTGGATCGACCCCTTCCGAACTCCGAAAAACTTTTCTAGAATCCTTCCGCTACATCCTGTTATCACAGCGACAGTACGGTCACATGCGCCTTACATCGCCGATGACATACACCACAGACGTAAAGAAAATGACATCTACGACGCCAGTTAGAAGGTTTCTGATTTTGTAATGTGAGATAAGAACAAAATGAGACAAAAACTGTCAAAGCAATACTCACATTCCCTATGAGTCCTTCACACATAGTCGAGAATATCACACGGAGTGCATGAAAACCGTCCATCATCAAGTGAAAAAAGTTCGAGAACGCTGGAAATTGGAAATTTTTTAACGGTGAGAACTTTTAGATCTACTGTTAAATTTCGTTGAATTTAGCGGCTATCTCAAGAAGCCCAACTTTTCCTTTAATCTTATTAACCTGGAACACTATCCAGTGGTTGAACAGAGCTCAAGAGTAGAGTCCTAGATTAGCAAAATGGAACAATTCCAACCCCCCTTGTAAGCATGACCGCTTCTGCTGCGCATGGCCGATTCTCTGACTATCACAATGAATTTCAAGGGCGTATTGGGCCTATCAACGGCCTGTGTCCACCTACCGAGCCCGTCTCCGCCTAAACGAGCGAGCTAGGATTACACAATGGTGATTCCTCTCTCTCTCTC